GCTGCCTCTGCCTCCCAAAGCACTGGGATGAAAACATGAGCCGCGGTGCCCAGCCTCTTAACATAACATTTTTGGGTTTTTTTAGATTAGAAAATTTTTTTTAGAAAATAAATTAGAGCCGGACTTGGTGGCTCAGCCTGTAATCCCAGCACTTTGGGAGGCCAAGGCAAGTGGATTGCCTGAGCCCGCAGATTCGAGACCAGCCTGGGCAATTTGGCAAGACCTTGTCTCTACAACAGGATAAAAAATAGCCGGGCATGGTAGCATGTGCCTTTAGTTCCAGCTTCTCGGAAGAAGGATGGCCAGAGCCCAGCAGCAGGTTGATGATGGGCTGGCCGTGAGCGTGTGTGCATGCCACTGCACTCCAGCCTGGGCAAAGGAATGAGACTCCAACTCAAAAAAAAAAGAAAGTAAATTAGAATGAGAGAGAGAGAGAGAGGATTCACCTCTCCAAGGTAGGAGAAGGGGCCAACGCTTAGGAAACATGGCAACAGCCAGAGCTCAAAGAGCACATGGCCACGCCAGAATCTAGTAAGGCAATGGCCAATATCACATTTTTTTTCTTTTTCTCTTTTTTTTTTTGAGTTGGAGTCTCACTCTGTCACACAGGCTGGAGGGCAGTGGCATGCTCACGGCCACCGCAGCCTCAACCTGCTGGACTCAGGTGATCCTCCTGCCTCAGCCTCCTGAGTAGCTGGAACCACAGGCATGCACCATCACACCGGCTAATTTTTCTTGATTTATTGTAGAGATGTAGGTTCAGCCAGTTCTCTCACCTTGGCCTCCCAAAGTGCTGGGATTATAGGTGTGAACCACCTCACCTGGCTTTTTTTTTTTTTTGAGTCACCCAGGCTGGAAGGCAGGGGCGTGCTCACGGCCACCGCAGCCTCGACCTGCTGGGCTCAGGCAGTCCCTCCCACCGCATCCTTGCGAGCAGCGGGAACTACAGGCACCAGGCGCCATGCCTGGCTGACTGTTTGGTTTATTGTGGAGGCGCGGTCTCGCCAAGTTGCCCGGCTGGTCTGGAGCCCGTGGCCCCGGCAGTCCTCTCCCTCAGCCGCCCAAAGTGCTGGGGTGACAGGCGGGAGCCCCCGCACCGACTCGGTGTGACTTCACTTGCACGGGAGCGCTGTCCTGGAGCAGCTCTGACGCTGCCTGTGTTCACGGCCGGCGCTGGTGGCCGTGGGGGGGCTGCCTGCCCTGGGCCCCACATGCCGGCTCCGCGCCGGCCGGCCTGTGACCCGCCTCTCCTGCAGCTGGTGGAGCTGAAGAACGGGGAGACATACAACGGGCACCTGGTGAGCTGCGACAACTGGATGAACATCAACCTGCGCGAGGTCATCTGCACGTCCAGGGTGGGTGGCCCGCAGGGGCCGGGCCGGGGGCG